TTTAATTCTGAAGCACAATTGTTTGAGAATAGGAAGTCTTCTAACTTTGCAGAGAAACTCTAGAAAACATGAAGGAAATGGTTTCAGTTAGGGTGACATTGTCTTTTACTGCACAGAATACAAGTTCCTAAATGCAGGTCACCATGCACACACATGTGTTTTACAGATCTCCCCCAGATAATGTTTTCAATTTACATTCAATGGAACTTAGTAATGAGGATAAGAAGAAAACAGGAAATTCTTATAATAGCTTCTAATACTAGACAAATCTAATTCTTAACAATGTTACTTTTTTACTTCATATCTATCATCCTCAGAGATCTGTTAGCCAATCATGTTTTCAAAATATTTTTAATATGCTAATGCTCTAGCACTGTCTCTTAGACATCCTGAAGTAAAAAAATCCTGAGCTAACATCTGTTCCCAACCTTCCTCTTTCTGCTTGAGGAAGATTGTCACTGAGCTAACATCTATGCCCATCTCCTTCTATTTTGTATGTGGGACACCACCACAGCATGGCTTGATGCATGATGTGCAGGTCTGCACCCAGGATCTGAACCCACAAACCCTGGGCCGCCAAAGCAGAGCGTGCGAACTTAATGACAACACCACCGGGCCAGCCCCCTTCTTAAATATTTTATCCTAGAATTTCTCAAATTCAACTATTAAAACTTTTTTAAAAAACTATCAGACAGTAACAATGTGGGGAACTAGTGGTTCCGGAGATTCTACCAGGGAAACAGTAATAATATGAGTAACACTGGCTTTTACTTTTACCCAGGTTTAAGAGCCAAGATTTATGGTGTTCCAAAAGTTGCAATGGATGTGTACACAAGGTGAGCATTCCTTGTGCTCCAATTATAGCCAATGGAGCCCTTCACATGGGCTTATCCCCTGGGCTGCAGCATGATAAGGCATGTGCGGGACATCGAAGGTGTGGGATCAGGACGCCCTCACCCTCATTTAACCATTGGAGCTCAGGTGTTATCTGTTTGATACAGGGAAAAAGCACCCTCTCTCATTTGGTTTTAGAAAATTTCATGGTTTAAAAAAAAAAAGTTTAAAAGCTATTCTTCTAAATTATTGAGGGAAAAGATAAATGTCCATTAATTCAGTCTTGCCTCCACCCAGTCAATGCAATCTGTACCTCAGCTAGAGAGATCTTTCCACAGTATAAATCAGATTTAGCTCAAACAGACACAAGACCTTAACCAAGTGGCCCAGTGTTTTTCTCCAGGGTTGTCTCTCCATCCCTCTCCTTGTACCTTTTCTTTCAGTCATAGTGAGCATCTCTGAACTTTGTGCATACACTGTGATGATTTTCACCCTCAATCTGTAACAATGTGCTTATTTGACCTTGCCAACCATGAATATCATTTTCTCAGGAATGTCATAGAGTGGTAGATGCCCAGTGGAGGGCAGATTTTGAGAATTTTGAATCTGGGGTTTGCCCAGATTCTCTCAGTCACAGTCACATACTGTTCTACTAGTTTTGAGTTGCCAAACTCATATCTGATCATTTCCTTCCTATGTCTCAAACCCCTCAAAGCAATTCCTCTCTTCTTAGGATTGAATCCAAATAGGACCCTTTTCATAATCTGGCTCTTAGTTCCCCACAAACTTAATCTCTCCTCTCCTCTTACCTCAAATTCAATGTCCCTCCTCACCGACAGTTATTTGTCTGGATAATCAAGGGTACTTGCTGTAACAATTTCTGTGAGGCCTTCCTGAGCACCCAAGACCGAAACGTATATACCTCCTGTGTCTTCCGATAGACAGCTAGTGCTCACTTGCTAATGTTATTGCTGATATCTCTGTTTACATGGGAAATCTGCTAATAGATATAATTAATTAATGCATATATGCATGTTTAAAGGAATATAACGGCAACAAATCTATACTTTTAGCCATGAGAATTATATAAGTACTGCAACATCATACTTGGACATATTAGTGAGAAAACCTTTAACACTGAAAAGGCTACATTTTAACAAGATTACAAAGAATAAGGTGAGGTGTATATGGCAATAAATTTCTGTGAGGTAATCAGCCCAGCAACACTAAGGGAAACAGAAGAATGTACAAACTCCTGCTATGTTGCTAATCTAAACTGAAGTATGTGGAATAAGTGCTATTTAGTGTCTTGTATGCTCTAGAAAATCCAGGGAAATGGTTTTCCCCGGGGACTTTCATGCACAAGTACAAGTAACAAGCACTAGCTTGACATTCCCAGGCACCTCACTGCTTCCAAACATGTAGCATTCTAGTGTAATCCAAAATAATGCCAGCACTCATTCCCTCCCGTGAGTCTCTGCTCTGGTCATTTAGTTTACCTTTTTCATTACTATTTTATTTTTTATAACTTCTTGTAAGAAATGAAAAATACAGTTGCTTTTTTATATTACATATGTAATATAAAATTATATATTTTATATAAAAATAAGTTATATATTTATATTAATGCAGCAATTTCCCTTCATCGACGCATTACCAGCGCAGACCCTGCTTTATACGGAGCTAAACAACCACTCAGAACACCATCCTCCCCTTTCCTGTAATCTGTACTTTATCGTAAGACCTTTGGTTTGCTTCCACAGCCCCTCGAAGGTTGGAGGGCCTGAGCAAGATGTGCTGCAGACAGACAGAATGTGCACAGCTAAAGGGCATGAGTAGGATTGCTGCCACGGTCCTCCCAAATCCACACATTTTAAAAATCTGCTGGACATATATTCTTGAGGATACTTTCTACATGCATATCAAGTAGAGAAAATAGCGGAATATTATTTAGTTATTTTAATAAAATATTGGAACAAAACATGTTTTCATTTATATGTAACAATTACCTTTATTTTGTTTTATTTTTTATTTAAAAAGAACTTCTGGGCTCATTTGATGAAAGGAGGCAAACCTCTTGAGGCGGGGTCAGCACAGTGGTTACACGAGCTCTCTTGTTTTATGATTACTGTCCTGACATGATGATTAATAGCACTCCCTTTCACTCTCCAAGTGTCACAGTTTCAGTGATGAAGACTATCTTCATGATAAAGTGTGTAGATTCCTTTCCCTCCCTCCCAACTCTCAGATGGTCTTGAAGTTGGATACTTCCAATGACAGAGTCAGGAAATGGAAGGGCAGCGATCACTACTCCTGGGGGCTTTTGGTTTCTCCTGCATGTCAAGCTTGTACTTGCTAAAATCCCATTTCCTACTAATTGGTTTGCCCTATATGGCATCATAAAAATTTGCCTAGATTCTCCTGACTAATCACTGCTTCCCAGCACACGCAGGGCAGGAGCGCAGGTATGTCGTGTAGAGTATGGATATCAGGATTCTCCCCCTTACCACATAAAGAGCCAGCACAGGACTCGGACACGGACGTGGATCACTCCAGCCTTAGCAAGAAACGCGCAACTGATCCAAGTACGGAGAAATGTGCTCACAGAGAAATGTAACTTTTATTTGTTTCCCTCTCATTTACTAGTGTGAGATTCTGTCACTTCATGTGGTAGACCTTGGTGACCATTCTGGCAATAATATTGCCTTTTTAAAAACAGAATTTAATTTTTTTTTCTAATCAGTTTAGTTTTCAAGTTGTTACATTAATTTAATACTTATGAAATTGATTAATAATTAAATTAGTCAATCATTAAATTGACTTAATACTCATGAGCCTTGATTTGAATGAGGATTTTATTCAAAAGAAAGTCTTTAGTCATAGGAAAAGTTTATGGCAGTCTCATTTGAGAATCATCAAAAGAACCACTGACATCTGAAATTCCATATTTAGAGACGTATTCTTTTGGCATTATGGAAATGCACTGGACAGTCAAATCTGACCAGCATATGTGTGCTAGTTAATTTCACAATGTTAAAAAAAAATGAATCATTGGCCATCCATAAATAATGTGAGATGTTGTGTGACAGTCTTGATTGTTGGGTCATGAAAAACCACAAGATCTCCCAACACCAACCCACATCCTACTTGGCTGTGACCAGGTGGACTGCACCGTTAGACTCCCCATTTCCCAAGATCAAGACACTCCCACTGTCTGTACACTCTTTATATCTTTGCCTTGTTTTATTTGCATTTATTTTTGAAAATCCTGTACAAGGCTTAATTAATTTCTATGTAAAATATGTTTCTGAATAAGAGATTATTCATTAATTCTTAAAATTAGTGAGAAGGAATATATCAGTTTATTTCTTAGTCCATATTTTGATAAAGGAGGAAGTGGGGTGGATCTAAGGAATTTGTGTCCTCATGTGAGAGGAAGACTGCTGTCTGTGGAGACCAGAGCCCCGAGTCAGAAACTGCAGCAGTGACTCCAGTACTGGGAGGAAATTAGTGGTGGGGAGGGGTCAGTCAGGCTTTAAGATTTTTTAGATATGACTGCTGAGAAGGTGCCCTTTATCATTCAATGCACATCACTCCCAGAGATGTATCCTCTGTGGAAAGGGCACCCAACCGGACAGTACAAGACTTATTAAGTGTTTACAAGGGTTACATTCTCTGGCTAGAAACTCTAACCCCCAAATTCCTCCATTCCATAATTCTAATATATTAGCTTTCAAACTAGAAAATATGTTTTCCCATTTTGATATTGGAGATGTCAATATAGAAAAATAATAAAGGAACACTTTGTTTAAAAAAACTTGTTTTGGGGGAAGAAAATTTTCCCTCAATATGAGGCCACACCTTTAGTAAAAGAGAAAATATATATTATACATATATAGATATTATACATATATATTCACTTTACATATATATTTACTTTATATAGTTATAATGTTTTGTGGCAACACATTTGTCTTTTTAAAATTCAAAGTTTTGTTTCTCTATAAACAGATTAAAGCATGATTTTCTTCTATTAACAAAAATGAGGATCTTAAATTTGACAACGATTGCCAATTAAAACGCTGACAGGAGTTAGAAATTATTTCAATCATTCTTAAGTTAGAACATCTGCAGCACATCTCTCAGGGCTGACCTAAACCCATTACCTTTGTCGCAGCATCAAAGCAGATAAATCCTGTGCTGAAGTCAATCGTGAGCCCCATTAGATGACTGTCCAGCACACACGCATATGTCTTGCACTAGACAGAACAGGAAACATTGTAACTTTTCACGTAATTGACGCAATATCAGTATTAATAGCCAACATTTATCAAAGACTGGGTGACAGCTCCTGTGATACATTCTTTACACAATAGCTAACTTAATATCAGCAATAATTGTATAAAGAAGATAGTATTATCAACATCTTAGTGTTGATAAAACAGAAGCTGAGGCCTTCTAGGGAGTATACAGGGCCAAGTTTCCAATCCCGCTCTGTCTGACCTTATCTTTGCCTTATACTACACTGACTTCCTTTGCTATATTGGCAATAAAACTGGTATGAACATTTTTAGGTGTAGGCAATATTATGTTAAGTTGTTATATCCTATAGCTAAATATCACTGCATTTTCATTAAACCAAAAGTGAATTATGAAAGATTAAAGTATTACTTACATTCTTGGCATATCAAGTTCATGGATATTATTAAAAGAGAAGTCTCAGGCACACAAACACAGATTCACAACCAAGGCAAAAAATACAAAACATCTTGACCTTAAGAGTTTCTGTGTGTTCATCCATGTGATGCAAGCTATTTCTCAGAGACATTTACCACTTGACTGTTATTTGTGTAAACCTACTGATTCTTCAGAAATCAACAATTAGTGACTTTTCACATTGAGATCATATTAAATTATAATTTTACTTATATATAAATATTTTGGGAAGACTAATAAAATGTGGATACTAAAATATAAGAATAACAGATGAAATTAAAACTTGGGGCTTATATGCATACAATGCATTTTTATGTGCATGGGCCAGTTTTATTTGCATTTAATTGCAAACCATCATTTGGGATAGTCAAATGACGAAAAATACTTGTAATTCACCAACAAGGAAACATAGGGGAGGCGGGGAGAGGGAGAGAGAGAAAGAGAGATCTATCTCAAGTAAATTTCAATACCAATCCTTACATCCTATTTGTTTTTATAATACTGTATATACAAGTACATTAAATGAATCACATTCTGACTATAATGATGGCTAAATGCATCAAGTTGCCTTCACCAAAAAGCTATATTCATGTGTTTAAGCTCAATTTGCATAGAAAAGTTATAACCATGCCAAATTATTCATTTAGAGGTAAGTTTTTCAAAAAAAAGCAGATTAGAAAATATACTTAATGGGCCTCCTAAGTTCACTTTCGGGTGTAATTTTATTTATGTAACACACGGGCACCTTCCGTGCTTGCATCACCCATTACCACTTTATTAAAATTACTGTCAACATTAAGGAATGTTCAAGGTTATTTCATTTCCTCCAATTTAGACAGAATTCCTATTTTCAATTCCTATTATTTAAAGGGACTATGTCAGGTGAAAACATCTTCAGTACAGAACATTAAAATTTATCTCATTAAGTTCATAATTATAAGGTAAATTACATTGTCTCAATAATCATTAAACTGAAACAGATATGACATAAATTGAGACCCACTGAAGTTTAAATCTATAATTTATGACCCTAATAAATATGTATAATGAGTATACTTAATATATGTTTTAATATTGAAATATTAGATTTATTGTTTAATTTCTAGGTTTATTTTATAATAAAATTGAATTAGTCATAAAAAAGCAAAAAATTATCCTTTTTAGGGAAGTTGAAGGTAGAAACACTTTGAAAGATTTTTGCACAATTAGATATTATTACATGACATTTGAGGATATCATATATAAAATGTTTTTTAATATGCCCTTTTGGATGACAGCTATACATCTACAGCCAATTAAAACATATGTGAAATGGGTTTAAAATAATAGTAATTAAAGGAAATCATCACATTGCATTGCTCAGGACATCAGCTTTGAGAATATGAAGCCCAGATTCAAAGAACGGTATTAAAATACAGTGTTTCACTGTATATTTTCAACATAATTTCATCTCCATCTCTTTTCTAAACATTAGGAGACTTAAAATGAAATCTTAAATTGGGACCTACAGGTAGAAATTGCCATTCAGTTGTTTCCAAGTGAAGTGGAATACTCTAAGGAAAAGATAATTAGGAAAACCCAAAAATTTCAATATAAATAACAAAAATGTCAATTCCTATTCAACTAACTTATATTTTAACATTTTAAAATGGTCAGATATTGACATTTGGAATAAAATAATATTTAAGATATTTTTCATCTTTCCATTTTTGATATTAAAGTATCTATTTTACTGAATTGAGGTTCTATATGGCTAAATTATTGAAACAATATTTCTCAGCTACTTTAATGTTTTCAAATATAGGCAGATCTGCAGAGCTATTAGAAAATGTCAATTGAGCAATGAAACAAGTGAAATTTGAGTCTTGTCTTTCCTTTTGATTGACATGACAAGATTGTCATATCATACGGGTACAATTTGATCTGTTGACTATAGAAGTTTGTAGTAAAAAAAAAAATTAATATTTGTTACAAATCAGTTCAACATATTGAAAAAATATTCATTAAATTCTATTATAGGCAAACATTACATGACAGTCAATGCTATATTATCATCATCGTATATTTGTTTTCAAAATTAAGTGTCCATGTGTCTATTTAGATCCTGGCTCTAGGAATCATTTGCATATGGCAAGTGCATCAGAACTGTTCAATTTGCCAGAGGTCTTTGTTAGAGGCCAGCCCCAGAACAGATATTCTAGAGCCTGTTTCATTCCATGGTCCTATGAATTGCAGATGCTGAAGGTTTTATGAAGTTTGATCTAGATATAACTTCACACTTCAGAAATAAAACTCAATACATATCTGTTGAACACTTGTGTTGTACAAAATGCACTGTACTTCAGTTGGTAGATGAATATAATAATCCCAAGCAACCTATAATCTAGTATGGGGAATGACAAGCACATATCACTCCGAAGCCAGAAAGAGTGTGAGCAGACCTCAGAAAACGGACAAAAGAAAGTGATATTGGCATTCAAAAGTGGAATGAGGTGGAACAGGATTGTTGTAGAAGGAGTAATGATAATCAGTAGGCAGGGCAGAGTGGAAATCAGGAAAATCTTCAAGAATTACGTGACCTCTGAAAAAAAGTTTCAAATTCCATGTGTCGTTTTGAACGGTAGACATGAAGGGAAGGCTTTTAGGAAGTCATGGAATTGTGAACGAATGAAACCATTCAGGCTGAAAATTAGCTGGTCGTGATTGGAAAACAGGAAATGGCCCTATAAACAGTTAACCAAAATCAGGGCATTTTCTATTTAGATTTAAATAAGAGCACATTCTAATTAAAATTAGAAATATATATATATATATATATTTTTTTTAACAGTGTGGAAAGAGGGGAGAAGGGCACTCCCCACTTTTTATAATTTTATTTATTTATTTTTCCCCCAAAGCCCCAGCAGATAGTTGTATGTCATAGTTGCACACCCTTCTAGTTGCTGTATGTGGGACGCGGCCTCAGCATGGCCAGAGAAGCGGTACGTCGGTGCGCGCCCGGGATCCGAACCCCAGGCCACCAGCAGCGGAGCACGCGCACTTAACCGCTAAGCCACCGGGCCGGCCCTACAAATATATTTTTGATGAGTGGTAGCAAATAGCATAGAAACATCAAATTGTAGAAAAAATAAAATGTTCTCCCTAGCTGGTACTATTCATTTAATAACAATGTCTAATTATTGATGGTATTTGAGGAGGTCAAGGCCCACAGAACTGTATTTTTATGCTAAAGTGAATTTATATTAGAACTCTAGGGGAATGGTCATGCACCTTGGGAGTCACAGACCCTAAAATTCCAGTCTCTTACCTGTATCCGTTCCACTTCTAGAAAGGTTGCTGTTTGGAAGGCTCTTTCCCACTGGGCGAGGTCACAGTCCAACTCCACAGAGAAGTAGAGATCCTCCCCAGACTCGGACTGCACAGTGAAGCAGTGTTTCCGCCGGTCCAGCAGGTCACTGTCCTGATGAAAACCTGGAGTTACACAGGCTGGCATACATCAATTCATACCACTGACATTGCCATACCTTGAACCACTGTTGACTACCGCATGGTGAAGATGCTACAGTGATAAAGACGACACACTACAACATCACTCAGTCTTCATTAAACATGGTCTCACCAAATTCCAGCCCTCCCAGTCCATAACGAATGCATTTCTTGTCTGCATTCATGCTGAAGCATGTCCATAAAATAGAAAGTAGGATTTTTGACTCAACTCTTACCAGCAATGTAACTACCAAAGCATTCAACACATGAGATTTGGTTTCTTAGTGCACAAAAAATAACACAATCTGCCTTCTTCCTTATAGAGCTGTTAAGGTGACAAAGTTAAATAATACCTACTAATATATTTGCAATTTTAAAAAGCTTTATAAGCAGTGTATTTTTTTTATTGAGTTGATTTCTGTAACCCATAAAGTATCAGGAAAATATTCTTCCATATAAGAAATGAACAAAATGAGTCAAAGTTGTCTATAGACATTTTATTGCTTTTTTAAAAATGTGTGTTAAAAAAACACACATTTACCTTACGTAACTGTATTTCATTGAGTCAAAAAGACTTTGATACGGCAATTTCTTGGTCTTACTAGAAGTTTTCAACTAACGTGTTCACACATTTATGTGTATTCCAATTTCAGAGATGTTGAAAGATGAAAAGAATGCACCTAAGAATTGATGACATAAGGCCATTCCATGCAATATGTCAAATACAGCCTTTGAATTACATGTGCAGTGAGCTAAAAATTGTCTAAGATTAATCACTGATGTCTTTAGTCATTTCTTATATAGAAATATATAAATCCATCATCAAACACTCAAAATGTTAGAAGAAATTCTCTGTTTTGCCAAGTGTTTTCAAAATAATAACAATTTTATAAATAAATTGAATTTCCTTTTTTCCTACTTGTATGCTTCATTGCTAGAGAAGAGTTAATGAAAGGCAGTTACTTCCAGTGCTGGAGAATTCAGCTTTGACACTGGCTGCCAGGAGATGCTCAGAGAGCTTAAAAGAAAATACATTATCTTTGTATTTATTGATTTTGGCACTCCGTCTTAAGAGAAAAAATGAAAATATAATATTTTTGAAAATACAGTCCAATGATAAGCAGATTGTAAAATACTTTTTAGTAATTTGGATCTTACAATGTCTAGGAAGGGTGACAGTAACAGATATTAAATAACCACACAAATAAATATGTTAGTACAGATCCTTATAAGTGCCACTGTAAAAAGTAAGAATGTGGTTTGCACCAAAATAGATTGGGAAGTCAGGAAAATGTCCTCTAGGGAGTGAATTTGGAACAATGGCTGAAAGGTGAGTAGAAGGTTAAAGGTAAAAGTGAAGAGGAAGCGTGCTCTGTGCAGACAGAGGGGATGTGACTGGCAGAGGTCTGAAGCCAGTTTGTGAGGTATAACTGCAAAATCCAGAGAAAAGATGAGAGAGACCTTCAGACCAAGGCCAGGAAAGGAGATGCGTCACTGACAGGTCATGAAGTTTGGACTTTAACATAAGTGTAATGACAAGCCATTATGTGAAAAATCGTAGTAAATCCTCTATTTATATTGCAGATAGTCCAACTCCTATATTAGCTATTTAAATTGATAACCCTGGCACAAAATTATAACTAAACACTGCAGTTTCCAGAAATTTTGCCAATTTTATGGTTTATTAAATCGGTCTTAACATCACTTGTAATATAAAATTGTAATATAAAATAATCAATGTCATTAATAGCCAGAAAACTGTTATTTTTCCATCTCATAAACTGCATGTTTGCTATAGAATCTTAAAATGTCCTTCATTTAAAATTTCCTGTTTTCTTGGTAACTTAACTCCTTTACCCTTTTGAAACTTGATTTAGAATTTTCTATTCCATTACCCAAGCTTTGAAGCTCTCAGAGATAGAGTTCTCTAATCAACTCTGCAAGTATAATTTCGACATCTCTGAACATTTGCAGTCATTTGTTATTGTGATTTAAAGGGCACTCCTCGTGCACTGACTCACACTACAACCACAGTGGGCATCTGGGCATTCAAGACTCAGTTTAGTGAGGGACACAAGTAGGTAAAAATAATAAAAAGCAGACAGTGCTATCGAGTTAAAGTGCAAGGGAAAGAGAATAAAGCACAATGAATCATTCCGGAGAGAAAGTGGGAAGCGGAAAGTTTTGTTCTAGGGAGCAACTGTAGTATCATCAAGGACTTAGAGATGTAGGTAAGAGCAATCAGTTGCAAGCCTGAAGGAGCTCGGGCGCTCCAGTTAAGAAATTCACATGAATGTAAGTGCCATGAAAGCCATCGGAGGGTTTGAGTCAAGAAAGAGGCAGGATCGACTCTGCTTCAGACAGAGAAGAGCAAGTGAGGGGGAAGATGGAAAAAATAACATGTTCAGATCCTTTTTCAGAAGTTTAGTGAAAAGTGACTATAGCCCAAACATTTTGAAGATCTGCTTTGAAAGCAACCATCCAAAATATTGATCTTCCTTTTTCTCACGCTCTTTCTGTCTTACTCAAGTGCGTGTGCTATAGTGAAGTGATAAGAACACAGGCTGCAGCCTCAGACGCTGTTTGGATTCAAATCTCGGCTCTTCCATTCATTACGATGTGCTGATAAGACAACATATAAATTTTAGCATAGTTTCTGATATATAGTAGTTGTTAATGTTAGAAATTTCTATTATTAACATTGATATTCAATAAAATAAATATATATGTTTTTCCCTGATTTCTACTTCTTTAACTTGCTTACCATACATTTTGTCTTTTGTCAGAGTGTCAGTTTGGCCCCAGTAGAAACAATAGCCTCCAAAATATGTTTTGCTCACTGGAAAGTATCATTTAATAATGGTAATAGGGGCCAGCCCAGTGGTATAGTGGTTAAGTTCGATGTGCTCTGCTTTGGTAGCCCAGGTTCACGGATTCGAATCCTGGACACAGACCTACACCACTCATTGAGCCATGCTTTGGCGGTGTTCCACGTACAAAATTGAGGAGGATTGGCACAGATGTTAGCTCAGGGCCAATCTTCCTCAAGCAAAAAGAGGAGGATTGGCAACAGATGTTAGCTCAAGGCCGATCCTCCTCACCAAAAATAATAATAATAATAATAATGGTAATAAAATAATAGCTAAACATAGCTATGGCAGATACCAAGATATTAAAATTACTTTTTTATTAAAATGTCACCTAATTCCTGCCAGAGTAATTATTTTGAATATCATCTAGCCTTTAAATTATTATTCATATATTCACAGGTAAATCTCATAGTCTGAAAAGAAAAGAAAAGTTTTCAACTTCTGAAAAAAGTAATTTAAAGAATATTTACAATTATTAATCTTTAAATAATTTAAAATAAAACTCAAGATGTTTTAGATATTAAAAAATCAATTAAAAGTCAAAACAAATGAACAGTCTGCATATGTACATCAATTTGTATTTCTGGATTTTAGTTGCCTTATCTAGCGAAAAAAAGGAATAATACTTTGAATTTCCTTCTTAGGAAACTGGAATCCTTGATGTAAGTGGACACAGTAGCAAACTTTAGAAAAAATATAAAGCATATTCTTCAAATACAGTGTCTAAATTAATCTTTATAATAATCCATGAAAATAGACTATAATCTTCATTTCCCTGAGAAAGGACGTAGGTCTTGGACGTATTAGTCATCTCCTCATTTTAGGAGCTGTTTGGCCTACGGATTAAGATTACATCCATTTGGGAGTCCTTCAGCTTAAATTAGAATGTGAGTTTTACCACTTATTTCCACCTTTCTTAACATCAGTGCAGCATTTTAAAAAAGGAGATGATAGTACCTGCCTCAAGGTTCTTAAGGTTAGAGTCAATACGTATATATCACTTAGAAAACTGACTGGTACATCACTAATATCGTATCACTGATAATCACAATCTTAGCCATCCCTGTTATTGACTATTACTAAAAAACTGGATTAGATCAGACTCCAAAGTCTGTGTACTTTCCAGTACACACACACACCTTTCTCTGTAACACAGTGTGATACTGCTATGGTAGAATGCAGGATATATAAGGAGAGTCGGGAAGGCTCCATTTGCTAAAAAAAATTAATCGTATTCACTTTGAAAGGGAAACACACTTGCCAGAATTGTCTATTATATAGGTGAATTTTGCTCTTTTGCCATTCTCTAGATATTTTGTGTACGCTGTGTGTGTATGCCTATACAGATTTGTGAATTCTGTCCCAGCTTAAAAAAGCTTCATAAATGTTAACCCTGATTCCCATAGATATTTGTTTATTGTTCCTGTTAATAATATTTCCCATTTGAAGAACATCATATGTATTACAAAATGCTTTTACAGACAATATCCCATTATCCATTCTATGCTTGAGAAAAATAAGACTTATAAAAGTCAAATGACTTACACAAGTATACGTACTGAAAATTCAGAGATTCTAGAATTTATAGGTGAAATATGTTTTTTTAAAAATAACCACCATTCACAAACATTTCTGATTATTGGTGTTAGAATACATATTCTAGAATTAGAATTCTTAGATTCAGAAATCAATGGCAGGAGGAAGTCACTTAAATAAGGTAGATGTGGAATAAATTCTCCCAGACCACCATGACCCCAGCAGATCAGTAGTTTAAAAAGACAGAATTCTCCCTAGCAGCACGCCTCTTGGCACTGGAATTTACCTGATTCAGATGTAAATGCATTAACTGGTATCTTAGAGTAAAACCAAGGTTGTTTTTCCACGACTTTTTTAGGCAGGGGATACACTGACACCAACCAACTTCCTGTCCTTCCAACATACCCCTCTGGTATAGATTCATAATGCCCCCTCGCTTAAATCTATCCACACAACATGGCTAAGCTCCTTCACTGGCTTAATATGTGTTAGCTTTAGCTTTCCAAAGGATTTAGAGAAGCAAAGTCCTATTTAAAAAAAAAAAAAAAAAAGAGTTTCAGGAAAGACA